TGGTGTGAACCACCCTAACTAGATGGTGTGAACCACCCTAACTAGATGGTGTGAACCACCCTAACTAGATGGTGTGAACCACCCTAACTAGATGGTGTGAACCACCCTAATTAGATGGTGTGAACCATCCTAACTAGATGTTACATTTTTATTTTACAGATGTGATGATTTAAAATAATTCACTTGGCGTCAGATTATATTTTAAATACAGAGAAGTATATCTTCACCAATTTTAACATCCTCTGGATCTTTATACAATGTCAGTTTTCTCACTGACAAGCACATCAAGTTATTGCTTTAAACTTACAGAGACTCATCATCAACCCACCAGATAGTATGCACTTATGTTGAAAGACCAGTTCTTGTTTCTTTAAACACTTTTGGAGGAATATGAATGGGTCCACTCACAACTACACAGTTATGGTAGCACATGTTAGTACATGTCCTCAAAACTACACACAGTTATAGCAGCACATGTAAATACATCTCACAACTACACAGTTTTAGCAGCACATATGAAAGGACAAAGGGATCAGTAAACTTACATATGAAACTGTAAAAACAAACTATTTACAAATGTGCAATTTGAGTATGATAATGAACTAATCATAATTGGCCCTACATCCCATGTAGGCTCTGGCCTAAATAAGAACTAATCATAATTGGCCCTACATCCCATGTAGGCTCTGGCCTAAATAAGAACTAATCATAATTGGCCCTACATCCCATGTAGGCTCTGGCCTAAATATGAACAAATGTACAGCTCAAAATTTGTTATAAAGTTGACCTACTTTATAATTGCGACTCCTGGATATCTCTTGAGAACAACATTCAAGATTATAAACATAATACTGGACTGTCACTTTATGCAAGATTTTTTACAATCTTACATGATATTTTTTTTACAATCTTAAAATGAAAATATGACAGATTCAAAAAGATATACCTATATTCTATAGTAGCCATAGTTCTTTTATTCACAATAATAGGATGATATGTTCAAAGATGGTAGTTTAATAAAAAAAAAAGAAATATATATAAAACCATCTTATTTTGAAAATATGACAGAAATAAATTGTCTTAATGTAAAAAAAAAAAAGTCATGTGCATGTTATACAAAATCAGAATAAATCCACATAATAAATAGTTCAGTTCTGCTAATGAAAGACCATGATATCCTCAAAATCATATCTCATACAAACATCAAGTAGGTTTGATGGGGGAACAGCTAACAAACAGAATACATTCAGAGGACAAATAGATTTATCCAAATTATTAAAAAATAATATGCTGTTAATATTTTAATGTGTTACTTCACATGATCCCATAAAAACACCATAAAAAAAAGACCATGGATGGTAAGCTTTAATCTTAATAGTACTGTATGTACACTTAATGATTTATCATATTAATTATTTGAATCCAGGACCAACGTTTTTATTCCCAAAAATCCTACAACTCCCATTTTAATGACCCTTGACTCTCATAGACCCCCCTGAGAGCCGGTGCTGACCTCACTACAAACTGACCCCCTTGAGAGGAGGTGCTGACCTCACTAAAAACTGACCCCCTTGAGAGGAGGTGCTGACCTCACTAAAAACTGAACCCCTTGAGAGGAGGTGCTGACCTCACTAAAAACTGACCCCTTGAGAGGAGGTGCTGACCTCACTAAAAACTGACCCCTTGAGAGGAGGTGCTTACCTCACTAAAAACTGACCTAACTTTGCTGTCTGATTACAACCAACAAAGACAATTAAAATAAATACATTTTTTGAATTAAAATTACCATTGGAATTTTTTTTTTTTTTTTATAAAATATAAAAATTTTTCCATACATGACATTTATGTGGTTTTTATGTATGCCCCAAAGCTTTATATCCATGGATGCTGGGATCAGGGTACTTATTTCAAGGTGAGTTGGGAACTTAATTCAACTGTACGAAAGAATATATAAATAAAAATATAAAAACTGTACATTTTGGTTAAGAAAATCTGAGAGATGAAATTGGAAATGTGTTAACATTTTCAATTATTTGGAAAAATGTATCTTTTCAAACAGTGGGGACAGGCGGGCCTAGCAAATAAATACACATAACATCCAGCATATTACAATATACAAATATGTAAGTGTAAGCAGTGATCAAACTGAAAGAGTCTTAATATACTTCAGTAAGTTTGGTAATATTTATATTGGAATTATCTACATCTTTGTCTCAGTACCGCTCTATTAAATATTCATCCACCTGTGGAATACATTCAGTTGTTCCCCAAACATGACTGCGGTATGTTTATAATTTATGGCTCCTAAGCAGGAATGGGCATACGAAAAGCTTTGTTTTAAAATCATCAGCAAGACAGATTCACTTCTATACGGTGGTAAACATAAGGGGGAAAAAAAGGAGGTCTTTGGTGGTATATTTTGTGACTTGAAACATTGGCTAGTGAAGACTCTAGCTTTTGTATAAAAAAAAACAACAGACTTGACATGAACATTCCAACACTGGCTAGTGAAGACTCAAGCCTTTGTTTAAAAAAACAACAACACACAATTAAATGCTTGAAATGTGTAGATAGGAATGACATAAAAAAAAGCAGAGGTGACCAGGAAGCTCAGTCATGTAACATTTAGAATTGCATCATGGGATTTCTGTATAACCTTGTAACAAATTCTGCCACTTCTTGCACCAATCATGACTTGACGTAATCTCCATCAAATGCCCACTGGTCACAATCATGGATCTCGACGTAGTACTGCTTGTGCTTCAGGTAGCGTTTCACTTTCTCTGGGACAGGCAGACGGTCCAGGTGGTCTTTTCTCACTGTCTGACGCACAACAAACCTGCAACAGATAGAAATACCTTTTTCACATTTATTTCAAAGTATTATTCTCTTTTAAAACAAATGAATGTTGGCAGGTGATCTTTTTTTTCAATTCAGGTTTGCTTCTCATGGTTGAATTAGTTTCATATATCTGCTATGATTGAATTAGTTTCATATATCTGCTATGGTTGAATTAGTTTCATATATCTGCTATGGTTGAATTAGTTTCCTATATCTGCTATGGTTGAATTAGTTTCATATATCTGCTATGGTTGAATTAACTCTTTCTCTCCGGAAAAATGCTCCCATCGTCGATTTGAAATGAAGATTTTGGCGCATCGACGATGGGATCGTCGATGTATAAAAACCTATTTATTTTGGTTCTTTTCTTAGCTTTGGGTTTTTAATTATTTTAAATCAATTATAGAATGATTTCCCTTTGTATAAATATCCCATTTTTCTCTGTTTGAACGAGGTTTTACATAGAATGACGTGTTTGAAGCGGTTGTTTTGATTGTCCATTTTATTTTTGCTTACAAACATAAAATCTTGACCTGACCCATCTGGTGATCGATCTAATAAAGGTTAAAAATATTACTCTGATGATGATTCAGACAGTGATTTTATGATTTCAAATGCAGAGCCTGATTCTGTTGAATTGTATGAATATAATCCTAGTACTAGTATTAGTAGTACTAGTGACGAAATAATGAAATTGGTAATTCATCAGCTGATGAACAACCAGCCCCGCCCCCCAGCTAAAGTGCACATCCACATGGATTGTTTCTTAGGCTTACCATAGCTAAACCCAGATGAAAAGATATGACAAATTTATGGTAAATGTTCAATTTACCATAATAAATGTTAGTACATACAAGAATACAGTGCAAATATTTTATAATAGCAACAAATGGTTTCCAGAGGACGGTGTGGCGTTGACAATGGATAATGTGCTCTGGTGTTTAATTTTTTATTTTTTTAAAGTTGATCTTTATTATTTGTGATGCACATATGAATAAAGTTAAGAAAAAAAATCATTTTTGTTACACTTTGGATTATATATTTCCCTTAGTGTGATTTGTAATGAGTGTTTTGTGAACAGTTGATAAGTTTTTATTTATTTTTTTTTTATTTTCCTTAAATGATAATCACATTTATGTATTAAAATTTAAACCCAAATCTGGTTTGATTGTGAAGGGCATACATTCCTCTTTAATTCCATACCAAACTTAACATTTTCTGATGAAAAACAAAAAAGTTAATGATGGTTTATAGATAGCATCATAGTGCCTAACAAATATGCAAAATTTGATAATTCATCAGAACGCTGAAAATAATTCCGGAGAGAAAGAGTTAATTAGCTTCATATATCTGCTATGATTAAATTAGCTTCATATATCTGCAGTGGTTTAATTTGCTCCATATATCTGCTAATAAATTTATGTCCATGCTGAGATGGGGCATTTTAAGATATGATAAGATATTCGTTTTTTTAAATTGATCCAAAAAGAAAAGGGAAATGTTTTTTTTTACTACATAGTACATATTCATTTTCAGCACATAAATAAATATGTATCTTAACCAGGACAATATTTTACAATTAGAACAATTTAAACAGAGGGCCTAAAGTATTTCTCTAGCATAGAAATCAGCCATCAATGAACTCCTTACACCATAACTAAATTCACATTAAATATTAGAAAACATTTGTTTATATGATTATCAAATACATGGCTGATTAAAACCATCAGTCATCCGAAATGAAAATGGTTTAGAAAATAATGAGGCATGCTGGTGTTTTTCGTTACGAGGGATGAAGAACAGAGAAAATAAATGGACTGATTGGCATTAGTTACCCGAGGTGAGTGACTGAAAAATAACTGGTTAAGATAAAATGAGATTCTTTTAATGATCAAAAAAAAAAAATGTCTCAAGCGCAAACATCTGCCATTATGTATCATAAACCTCACTTCCTTAACAACGCCATTGACTTTTAAGAGTGATTATTTTATTTTATAACTGCCACGGAGGCATGTAGGTTAACTCTATTATGGAAGGAATGCATTTCTGCATCTTTTGGTCATTACTTCGAGAGAAGGAATTTGCCCTGGTCGAGTTCATCTTAAGTAACTATGATAACTGAAGTTAAAAAAAAAAATTTATATATATAATGCACCGACTCACCTTGATAAATGTTTAAGAGTTGCAACTCTAAAATTTCTTGGCACTGGAAACAGCAGGCGAATGGGGAGAGGGGGTGTGCCTCTTGCGCTGGGTCGAAGAAAGTAAAGAAATCTACCATCTTTTGAGTTCTGTATGGACTTCTCAATGAACTCACAAATTCTGGCTTTACCGTGGGATTCTGGCTGGGACCAAAAACTGAACAGACCTGTACTCAAGCAAAAGGAATTTACATTTACTGAAATGACTTTTCTGAATTGATTTTTCTTCAATTCGATGCGAAGGCTAATAAAAAAAAACTGTTATCAAAATAAGAAATATACAAAGTGGGCAAGGTAAGAGCGTTTGCCTCTGTCTTAACTATTTCTGCTGTCCAAGGGTTTTTGTCCAAAACTTCCACTTTCTTGTATTGCCCTTTAGGTTTCTCCAATCCCTTTGTATATTTCTCAATGCTTCAACCTGAACGCAGGTATTTCTATGATCACAAGTACCTTTTGCGTGTTCAATTCTTGTGTGATGAACCTCCCCAAGTGACTTAAAGCTCAGGCTCAGCAAGTACTTTTGATCAGAGCTGTCCCGGACAAGGAAGGAGCCATCCTCTTTGTCTTTGAGTATCAGGGCAGCCTGCTCATATGAAATAGGGCCCCAGTACCAATCTTTCTGTAAGTAGCAGGACAGAAACATCATCATTAGATACACCTGACGGCGGTATGTCAAATACATTTTTATTTTATTTAAGATATTAAAAAAAAAATTATATAACCTGTGAACACATTGAGACACAGAGATACAATATGAGCATTTAAGTTGAAGCATTTCAATATTTCAAGGGGAATACAAATTTTAGTCTTCTGGAAATGTATCAGCTTATTTTAATTCACATAAAAAGAAAGAAAGAAAAAATATTTTTTTGTTTGTTTGTTTGCTGCTCTTTATGATGTGCCAAGCTTCTAATTTAATGGTTTTGAAATATGTTTTTTTACACAAATGAGGGACATAAGGCCTCAAGGCGGTAATGAAGTAGTAACCTTTTGACAGATTAGAACGAAATTAAAAGAAGAAAAAACACAAATATTGTTAAAAACTGAATGCTGAAGCAAAAGGCCAGAAATCAATTATCTGATAATAAAATAAACATACAAACAATCAGAAAAGAGCAACCAGAGATAACCTTTTCTTTTTCTTTCCAATAATAAATACACTATGGTACATAAGTAGAACAAGATAAATATGCTATCAATTTCCAGGTCAGTTATAAACCATTAGATTTTTCTACAATTATTTAGTGTGAATCACCCATTGCAGCTGTTCCATACTCTCTAAGAAATCTTCTCTTTCCTGCAGTGGTTTGGGTTCTGTAATATAAAAAAATAACCAATTTATTTTTTACCACAATTTCAAAACAAAACAAAAAAGTATTTCCTAAAATAAATTAAAACTGTAGGAGGGTAAAAACATATGAATGCTACCAAATGTTGGACTGAAGTTCAATGATTCTACAGCCCAGCAGGACCAATAATTCCTAAAAAATTGTCTATTTTGTTTTTTCTCCATGTTTTTAAATTTGTTCCTGGGTCTGAGGGCCAGCCTATCTGGGATCACAACTTACAGAATATGTATGTAAACAGAATTAAATAAATAGACAAGAAATTGCAACTAAGATAACTAAACTCAATCATAACTGCAAAGCAGATGCTAGAAATAGATATATTAAAAAAGTCACCTTCTGTACCTCTCATCCCATCCAACTCTATGGACCTGGTGTCTGTGTGAGCAAACACCGTCCTGCAGGAGACCAGTACGTTAGGGTCATGCATGTAATCTTGCGGTGACATCCACTCCTTCAGCGTCTTGGATATTCTATTTGTTCGGAAGCTGGACAGATTGTCATAGTGGAAGTCCTGCTCCTCTACGGCGGCACCAGCTTCATCCAACAGCTCCGACATCCAGTTGGTGAATGCGGAATGTCGAAAATGCTTCCAGCTTTTGGCATTTGGAAAGTGAAAGTCTTCTGTAGGGCCAAGCTCAGAAATATTTTCTCTCGTATTGGATCTTTTCATCTTGTGGATATTTCGCAAAACAATTTTCAGTAAACCCAGCAAGGAAAATCCAACATGTCTTTCTTCTAAAAATAGAGCTTCTGTGGCCTTTGACCTTCGAAGAACCGAAGCGAAGTATTGCAGCTCATCCCGGATCAACTTCAGAAATACAAACTCTTCAAATCTGCAGCACCTTTCTTCACTGGGGAAATATTTTTTTGTAAAGCATCCCTTGAGATCAAAGTTTCTATTCCTGTCCTTGAGTATGAAAAATTTAAACTCTGCATATGTTTTTAATAGGTACTGAAAGTCTAACCTTGGTGAGATGTGAGGCAAGAGTTTTTTAAATATAGAATCCATGGAGCACCAGTTGTTCCATGAGATATGACTCTCAGAACCGCCACAGTCTTCATCATGACCTGGAACCAACAATACTTTCTCACTGGCCCGGGGCTTCCTCATCTTTGCAGTGTAAGCCAGCTCCCCATGCAGGGCACGGCAGTAGAAGGCATTATTTGTATAGTTTATTCTATGAGGGGAGACACGTGATGCCAAGCGGCAGACAGTTTTTGCATAGGTTTCAACAGCAATTATTTCATCCTCGGAATCAGACTCCTCTTCCCTGCCGCATCTGGTGCACGTCAAGCTGCTGGTGCTCAGGGCTATGAAGTCCTGCAGTATCTCGACAGGTTTCGTTGGTGAGAGACAAGGGGAGTGAATGCAACCGACAGGGCACAGGCTGTCACCGTGTTCAGACATGAAATCATCTGAATGTAGGTCATCCCTTACAATTTCAGCCCGGCACTCTCTCTTGCCCCCAACTTTCAAAATCAGAACTTTGGGCTGCATGTTATTTTCCCCATCTTTCATCCCCTGCATAGAATCACAAGGCTTGTATCTAACCGGATTCTCTGGCTCCCAGTTGTCCAGCTTGTCAGTCTTGAGTAACTTCATTCTAATCTGATGGAAGGTGGGCAGATCCTGGACATGCTTCAATCTTTTCTCAATCTTCATCTGCATCTTACTGACCCCCTGCTGCATCTCAGCAGCAATCTGATCTTTCACTCTTAACTCCGATTTGCTCATAAGCATTCTGCGCAGGAAGTGGAAAAAGCTCAGCAGCTTTGCCTCCACCGCAGACCTGTCCTGAATGTAATCATGGAAATATCTCCCCCACTTAAAGACGCCATTGTGGAAATAATGGGTGTCCAGGCAGGACCCGGTGGTGAAAGGCCCACTGATGACATTTTCTAAAAGTCTAGGATTGGAGTAGAGGACTGGCTTGGCAACCCTGGCGATACTTAGGTCTCTCTTCACATGAATAATCAAGCACTTGTGGATCTCAAGACCATCGTCGGACTCACAATCCTCCGAGTCAAGGTAAACAGTTTCTTGCACACTCAAATCAGAGCCACCTTTTGCCCCTGGTTGTGGCAGACGCGGTTGGGCATCCTCTGCCCCAGATCTAGGGAAACATTCAAGTGGGAAGTTCTCATTGATGGCCTCATGAAAATTTGAGTCTGAAAATGGCGACATGGCTTCATCAAATGTGTGTGAATCTTCTGAAGGTTGTTTGACCAGATCTCTGTGCTCATCCTGACGACAGGGTTGCAGTCCAAGAGGATGAAGAGATGTGCTGTTCTGACTTTGGTCACTCCTTAGTGATCCAGACACAACCGGAAGAAACATTTTAGGTCTTGCCCCTTGAGATTTGTAGAGCTCCAGATTGACATCAAGGACTTTGTCCTTCTCTTTCATTACATTTTCTTTAGCATCTTTTTCATTGAATTTCTCTTTCATTTTATTTTCTTTAGTATCTTTTTCGGGGAGATTCTTTATGATTATTTTTTCTTGTTCAACTCTGACATTAGCTGCTTCATTATTTGAAAATTCATGCAAGTGATTATCAGCTACCTCCAAATTTGTTATGGGAGAAATCACAGTAGGAGGGACAGCTTCGTTCTCAACTTCCTTACTACTGGTCGAATCCGCTGCACGGCTTTGTTCCTGTTGTTTTAACTGACCTAACTCCGAGCCGACTGTTGATTGTTTCTCACTTAAGTCTTTGTTTATTGTTATGAAAACTCTTTCTTGGTCTTCTCTTACTGAACTGCTCTGACATGTTTGGGGATTACCATCTTCACACTGTACTGGATGGTCTAAATGGCAGATTGCATCCTCTAAAATCTTCACTGCCATTTCCTCACAGAACTGAGAAACATCACTCACTGTCACATGATTTGATAGTTCATTTGCATGGGTGTGGTCTCCCTGAGATTTAGCCACTTTGGTAGATGTGCTGGTGATGTTGTTGTGTCCCAGGGGTTTGGCTGCTTCAGCAGCTGTACCGCTTTCATTGTTGGTATGGTGACCTATGGCTTTATTTACCGGGTAGGATTGCCTCACCACAGACTCTACAGAACCCCTGCTCTCTATCACAGGACTGCACAACTTGCTTGTCTGGGCTGAATCAACTGTAGTGTACTCTATCTTCTTCAGACTGACCTTCCCATGGAAGTCTTTATGGTGGTCAATATTGTGGTTAGAATTAAATGGGGAGATTCTCTTGGTATCTTTTAAGTCCATGAATTCCAAAGTCCTGGTGTTCTGAGAGGTCCAGGAATGCCTTGCGTTGCCCCGGTCACTCTTCAACTTCTCTCCTTTTACTTCATCTTTTTGGTAGTTTCTTAGAGGCAAAGGTGGGGCCAGCAGAGAGCTCAGCTTCTCAACCAACTCTTCCTCCGCAGGAGTTTTGATTATTGGTGTCTCTGATGATGTCGGAGCTCTACGGGAGTAGTGGCTGGTTTCAGGAACAATTTTATGACTTTGCTTACGTATGATGACATTGGGATTGTCGTAGATGCACTCCTCTATGGCAGAGTTTTGGGGCTCTGATGTCTGATCCAAAGAAAGAGAAGAATCACAACAAGATGCAAGTGGAGCCAGAGATTTTGGTGAAGTAATAGGTGCTATAGTAATTTGTTGAAACTGCACACAAGTGGAAACCTACAGTACAGAAATTTATACATTTAAAACATATTCTTGCAAAAGCATGTAGATTTGTTTTTTACTTAAATCTGTATATAAATCTGGCCAAACAGAAGTTTTAGGCTGCGTTTTCACCCACATCAAAGATTGACATACAAGAACAAATTCAATAGAAAAAAAAAAAAAATTCAATTTAATAAATGAAGATGTTCACAAGAGTTTTGTAATCCTGTCTAATTACACACATGAAATTTCAAAACACGGAATAGTGATTTCTTTCGTCGTGAAGTGTTTCTTTGCACACAAATAATAATATCCAATATGAAATTTCAAGAGGATAAGACAATCTATCTCTGAGTTTGTGTAGTTTCAAGTAGATCTGAATTGACATTGGGACACTGTTCAACAAATAAAGGATCTGCTCTTCTGTTCACTTCTCAGCACTGTTTAGGTAACCAAGTCTTAGCATCCACATGATCCTCTGATAAAATTTTAGATGCTTAAAAGTGGATGACATCAATATTATTTACCAGTGCTAGCATTACTATCAGCAAACAGTTTGAGTTCAGCAAAATTGTATGAATAATTTTCTCACTCTTGCTGAAAATGTGTTCCACCTTGAGTATCTATTACAAAATTAATTTGCTTAGTTTGCAACTATAAATTGTTTGACTATTGCTTAAAACTAGTCATAAAAGGCCATGGCTAAAGATACAACAATGAAGAAAGATGGCTGACCAAAATTGGATGCGGTCGGATGCAATGTAAACACAATGTTAGACAAATTTCTCTACTGATAGATCCTTCTTTTATGTCAGTCTTGGATGTGTATGAAATATGGAGCCAGTCAGTGTAAACGCAGCCTAAGAAGACCAACTTATTTCATCACCATTGTAAAATCAGCTATAGTCTTAAAAAATTGCTTTAAGCCCATATAAATTAAAACAAGAAATAAGTTAAATATTTCATTTACATTGCAATAATTTTATATTCATAAAATAGTTGCACTGTTCTGATATACTTATGAATTGTATCTACTGAAGTGGCTTAGTTAAATTACAAAATTTGTGAATAAATTACCCAAAAAGTTAAATTTTTCTTACGTTTGAGTTTCCAACCGCAAGGCTTTTGACATCAGTGTTTGATGTTGAGTTCTTGACTGGCAACTCAGGACATGCAACATGAGATAATTGGCTCTTGATGATGTGAACAATTTTATCCTCACTAGTTTTACCATCAGATTTAGAGATGTCACCATTCACACCAAACTGAAGAGTGGGAATGTTGGCAAACGCACTGGCACATCTCTGCTTGACCTCATCAAGTGTCTCATAATCTGGATCCAAGCTAGTGGAAACAGCATCTGTGGCACCATTGCTTAGGCCTGTGTGTTCAGAGCAGCTGGTGATTTTCAGTAAACTACTTTGCTGTTGGATTTCATCTAGTGTTTCATAATCTGATTCCCTCCTTCTTGTCATGGGCTTTTTTGAATTCAAAATAAAATTTTGACTCTCAGATTTTGTTTTATCAATTCTGGCATAAGGATAATGATCATCGACTGACTTAGCTATATCATTTGAATTAACGGTCAAAGATTCTGGTAGACTGGCCTTATCCAATGGGGTGCTGGAATGGTCTGGAGCAGCTGATTTTATAATCTGGCTAATCTCTTCTTGAACAGAACTAATAGTAGCGTAAGGATCCTCTTCTATTGTGCCCCATGCACCAGAAGAGTCTTCATCAGAGTTTTCTACATTGGAAAAGATAACCTCAGGTTGCCCACCATTTTCTGCCTTGCACAGAACACTGACCCTTTTGTCTTTGCGAATAAGAATTACTTCCTCTTTGTCAGATTTAGCTTTTCTTTGAGTTTTCACAGAGTGAGATTTGGTTACTTCTGTCTTCACTTCAGCATCAAAGCCCAAAGAATTCTCTTCATGTCTGAGCTGTGTTTCGTCACTTTTACGCCGCATCCAATGGGGCTTTGAGGGTGAATTGATCAATGACTTGAAATCATATTTCCCCTTACTACTTCCAAAATGAAACCTTCTCTTGAGTCTTGAAAATATCCCTTCACTGTGAGATTGGTGTAGAGATAAACTTGCCACATCAGAAGAAGCTGGTAGAGTTGCTGATCTAGAACTGGCAGAAGGGATTTCATCATGGACTGAATTGTCTTTAGCGTTGCTGGGTTTTTTACTAAACCTTCTCTTTATTTTTCCAATTTTCTTCTCATTTTCAGACATTTTTCAAGTGTCCAGCTTTTTAACTCACTATAAAATTAGATGTTAAAAATACATGCTTTAAACTGTCAAGCATCATCAACTGTTGCAAAGACAAGTCTGCTGTGTAACTGTCTTCATATCTGAAGTAAAATCAATTTCAGCTTAAAACGAGCTGAAAATATTGAAAAATAAAATCAAAGAATTAGAAAAAGGATCTATATGGTATGATGGTTATCGACTGTAATAGTTTTACCATTATGTTGTTTTCTATCTTGCTTATTAAAGGTAATTAATTATAGTAATTACCTTAATATATCTTACATTTAAATCTTCTAAAGCAGCTAAGGGGAGCTAATAAGGGAATGCCACCAGTAGTGTAGCTTGGGTTATTGGGGTAGAGTGGGTCAACATTTTTTCCGATGTGCTTCCAAAATAAAACAAAAAAACATGCAGTTGGCCAAAAATAATATGAGGACAAATAGTGGCTCTTTTTACACTTTTCCCTAGTCACACTATAACAAATAATTATATTAGTAGCAATAAGGCCTCCTTAAGAAATAAGTTATAAGCCTATGTATATATTAATATTATTGCAATCTAATTTTTTTTATAAAATTTCAAAAATAGAACATTTATCAGCCCAATGCCTAAGCCCATTCAAAATATTCATATTCAATGCTGCAACAAACCGGTTCAAACCCCCTGTTTTAAACAATAAGGGCTAGGCACATATCCTGTTCATATTTTATACAATTGCATGCTTGACTGAATGTAGTAAAGCCCAAGGCCAATGAGGATTCTAAACTCTAGTAGACTACTAAATACTAAGACTATGGGCCTAGTACTAGTATGAGTAGCTTTATGTTATTTCAACAATTTAGTAGCAAGAGCTTACAAAATGAAAATACACTGACTTTACAGATCTGACCACACTGCAAGCTGCTCAAACTCAAACATTTAAACGATTTACTTATAAACAATTAAATATAGGTAAAAGTGGAGTTCAGGTGCGTATATTATTTCTGTTTGAATTTGGTATTTTCACGTGTAGACTTATGTTAATTCTTTATAAAACGTATTTTAAAAGTAAAATACCATCTTTTTAATGGAATACAACAACAATGAAACAAATTTTACGAGATAAAAAAAGGACATTTTCATGAATCTTTTGTCTTTTGCTGAGCCATTGCGGTAAATCAAGGATAACTCTTCTGTCTTTAAAGATACGTTATAAAAGTTGCCCAATTGGATGAATCTTGGTTAAAATAAATGTTTATTTATTTTATAACTTGACTACCGGGTATCAAATATAACCGGAGTTGCCCGGCTTGCAGAAAAAAACATCTTCTACTTCCTTTTAATTCACATTGCTATTAAGCCAAATTTTAACAACTAAACAACAATACTATATTAAAAAAAAAATAATCAATTTGTCTCCTATAAAAAACTTAAAATAACTTATGTAAAACTTTCGTTTTTCCCATTTTCCGCTGGCACCCCATTGTCCGGACAGATAATGATGGGATCCAGATTCCGGTAAAATTCTGGTCATGGCGGTATCCCGATCACGGTAGAATCTCGGTCATGGTGGATCCCGATACTGGTAAGATCACGATCCCGGTGAGATCCGTTTTCGGTGGTATCCCAATCCAAATGAGATCCCGATCCCAGTAGTATCTCGAGCCCAGTGAGATCCCGATCCCGGTGGGATCCTGTTTCCGGTGAGATCCAGATCCCGGTAGTTATAGGGAACTCTCATACTTGACACACGTAGCCAGTTTACCAGCCACATAGCAATGGTTACGAGCGCCGTACGAGAAATTCCATAGTTGTATTAACGTTATTTGTTGCCTCACAAAGTTTTCGCATAAACCAAATGCTGCACCATTTAAAATTTACGCTGGATCAACAATTTCAATAATTGTCTCTTGGTGTCCTGCCATTTTGAACAAAATGATCCAACTACCAGCAATACCGCAAAACGAGTCTGTCTTATTCTGTATAATTACTAGTCCTCACCCTCATTTTACTCAGCGCAAATCAGTCACCATTACTAAGCACATTTGCATACGAAAAAAGGGGAGAGGTGCTCAAATTATAGCTGATCAATCACGGACAACGTATTTGCAGCCATCAGTATGAGATGACTATCAATAAATGATCTGATTTCCCCCATCCCTGCAACGTCACAAATATTTTTTTTTAAAAGTGGACACGTGATCACACATTGGCACATATTCGTGGAACACACCCCCCCCCCCCNGAAAAAAAAGAGAGGGGTGCTCAAAATTCCCCCAGAATTCGAATTCAAGGGACAACCCGTATATTCCGAGCGTTCTGAGAGGAAAAAAAAAGAAAGTGGGGGTGGGGGGGCGCTCGTGCATAATAAAATATCTAAATTTCATTCCTTTTTGTGAACATGCCTACAGTTGGAAAATTTGGTTTAGCATACTAACTTATCGGTGGTTAAAAATCTGGCCATAGGCCGAAAAAAAAAAATAAAACAAATGGGGCTGTGTTACTTTGGTTGGGGGATGTTTAAAGACTCTTTAGATATCAAATAAAAAGAAAAAATGTGATTTGAAATTCAGTATTAGTTAACTATAACTGCCTGTATTTAATTAATAAAGAATACACGTACGTTTACATGATAAAATACGAAATGCGTTAAGAAATAATATACGGACCTAACCTCCACTTTTACCTAAATACAAAGTCAGCACTTAGTGATAGTCTAAGCACTGTTATTAGCAGATCTACTTCCAGTTATTTACTAATTTTTAAAATTATACTATTATACTTTCTTAAGTTTATTTAAAGTTGACAAATAATAGTACTAGTAGTATAGTAGTAGTAGTAGTATTAGTATAATGCTAATAATAGTATAAATATTCTAATTTAATTAGTAAAATTACTAGTTTAAAAAGTCACCCCTTAAGTTATTTCGTTAAAATTTAATGTAAGTAGTCAAGCAACGATTAAGAATCTTAATCTTAAGTGTCTTAAGAATGAATAACTTACACTTACATGTAAGTAACTTTAAGTAAGTTTGAATCTGACTCTACTGCTTATTACAAGTCTAATTACTAATACTATTACTACTCATTGAGTAATGAGTACTGTACTATTATTTCTCAATCATTGAGAAATAATAGTAATAGTATTATAGTCATAGTACAGTACTCATTACACCCCACTGGCTGAGCCCATTATTTTTGACATTGCAGACTCACTAAAATGTGACTGAAATCATTTTATTGACTGAACACTGAAGATTGCTTTGCTATTTACTTTGCCACTTCGTGATTTCACCTACAAGTTACACTTACTGTCTTACACCACTTCACTCCTACTAGTTACTTTCTTATTCTTACTAGCCTACTTACAACCTACTACTACTACTACTAAGTAACTACTCTCTGCCGATGAAGAAATGAAACTAAAAATCTAAACAAAGTCATGATTGGAAAAATTAAGATAGGGAAGATAGTTAAACAAAAATTTTAAATAGGTTTACCTTGGATTCAAGACTCACACCTAATTAATGATATCTTTTACTTTACAGAGAGGAGTAATGAGTAATCGTACATTTCCACAAAGCCAAGCTAAACTTACCTCTAAACCGGATGTTAATTAAAGGGAGGTCTATGTTTTTAAAAACTACGTACATTAAAGTGTGACTAAGGTCAAATTTAAATCGCCTGTGCATGACGGCGATTTCTTGACCACAACAAAATAACAAAAATAATAAAAATATAATGTAATAATAAATTAATCCTGGATCCATGATTAATATGACACACTTTTTAACCACGGCATTTAACGTAATTTGATCACGCACTATACTATATTATAGTAAAACAAAATAATGCTTTCAAAAAGAAATTTGACGCAAAAATGTAACCTGTGAACTGGAAATGGAAAAAAAAAGATTCACCAAACTTCCGTTCAATCAAATTTCTGTCGATCAATTTTCCGTAGACCAAATTTCTTTCAAACAAATTTCCGGATACGAATTTGATCATGTGATACGTTGGATTAGTCCTGATTAGATTCATCGGACATTCCAATTTCAGTACTGACAAAAGCGATTCAACTTCCCTCTCATTGACGCAGCATAATAAGGAATTGGGGTGGTGTGGGTTAATTTTGGGTGGGGAGGTATGTCCTGCGAGCAGGTCATTTTAGGCAGGGACGTCATTTCAGGGGGGGGGGGGGGTTTGGGGGGGGGGGGCCGCAACTGGGTCGGCTTATTAAGTTGCTTATTAC